CCCCAAAACCCCAAAACCCCAAAACCCCAAAACCCCTTTAGAAGGAATTTACGTTGAATTTTAACAATTTTTAAGCTGTTCAAAAATGATTTCCTACAGCCAAGTTATACAAAGCAGTAAGTAAAGGGACCAAGACTGACTCTGGGGGTGCAGGAGGGTGGATTAGGGATTGGGAGAGGAGATTTAGAGAGTTTAGAAGATTTTTAGAGTATTTTGGGTGGAGTTCTGGTCAAGATAAACAGAAATTAACCTTTTGTAGAAGATACAGATGAGAGTAGTGTTATTAGAACCAGTATTTCTCAGAGAGATTATGTGCCTTCAGATAACTCATTTAAAAGAACAGGATATAAGATGTACAAAAACCAAGGAGCTTTTAAATAAATGAGCGAGATACATCAGCGCTTTTGGGTGTATTTTCATACTTTATGGTATCACCAACATTTTGTTTTACTCTTATGCTTGTGGGTTTGAAATAGTTTATTGCATGAGAAATCCAGATGCTTGCCCAACCGCTCCTCTCCTTGTTAGCCTCTTTGGTTACCTGCTAGACTCTTTAAACAGCTGCTGCACAGTTTGGATCGGGATTTTATTCATCAAAAAGACTTCAAAACCGAGCAGGGATCAGACTTGGGAACTTTGGAAGAAGACTATGAGGATCATGGCAATCAAGCTTGCCATTGTAGTTTTAGTAGAGCTGACCTTGGGCCTGTACATGCTCAATACTTCATACAACGAATATGGCTTGGGCCAAGGGTATGCTTAAGAGATGTAGTAAACTTATAGATCTGAGGAGAACGGGGAGCATAAGATCAAGTTCAAAATTAAACAGAAAAGCAGAACTGGAGCAACTGAATATAAAGAAACAAAGGAATATAACGGATACTCCTCTGTCCTTTTAATGAATGCAATAGTTGGATTAGTTCTACCTCTATCCTGCATTCTCATATACTCAGCCTGTATCCTCTGTGGTCTCTACAAATACCATTCCATCGCTAAAGAAATAGAGACAATCCAGGACAATCCACCAGCTCCCTTGTTCCCTCTACCCCAGCTCCAACCAATCCCAACCTCCAAGCCCAGATCCTACTCTAACTCTTCCTCCTACAACCCCTAAAAATCCCTAAAAAATCCTTCCTCCCCTTACTCTCTCCTAAAAAACCGTTAAAATTCCCAAAACTTTCAACCCCTAATTCCAAAGTCGGGGTTTTGGGGTTTTGGGGTTTTGGGGTTTTGGGGTTTTGGGGTTTTGGGG